TCGGGCCAAAATTATTTGTTATCGAGAGACTGATCATCTAGTGTTACTAGTTTTTTTATTACAATTCTGTTTCCAGATTCGTATTCGGCACGAGAAATTCGATAAGAACCACGTGATGGATATTGCAAATTTTGTTTTGTTGGACAGTGTAATGAATGACTAATGGATTAGTTTTAATGATATGTCAACACTTTATTATCGCCTTTTCCTCCCCCATTTCTTCTTGTAAAATTAAATAAGCTTACGAAATCTGCTACACGAATTACATTTAATTCCACTTCAGCCTTTAATACTTTATTCGATCGTGCAGACCTAGTCACTAATAAGTTGTTATTCAATGATTTTTATCAAATGACTGAGATCATTCAACTTTCAATTCATCCTTATATTTTCATAAGGCTGTTAAGTTTTATAATAGATAATCAGTGGATAATTCTTGCTCGAAATTTCTTAAAAAGAGTTTAAATGGAGTAACATTCCTTATTAAAGAAATAGGCTGATACAATCTGTGAGACGAATTCTAGAAGTTGATTCTAGCTTTAGCCTTTAATAATTTATTGGATCGTACAGGCTGTGAATAATCACTTCTGATGAAATTAAATAAGCTAATGAAGTCAGTGCGACTGCATTTAATTTCATTCGTCTTTAACATTTTATTCGATCACATATATATCTGTGATCCATACTAAGTAGAGGAGTTCTTTTAAAACGATCTCCGACGGGTATTGGTTCCGTAATAAGCTGAAGATTATGAATATCGTCTCTACCGGGGCATTTGCAGCGTATATTTAATAATAAGACTCCTTCAAGATTCCTGCCTCCGCCCAGTAATTTATATAGAGGTAATTAAAAAAAACGAAAATGTTTAGAGTCCGTCGCATTCTCGTTGTCGTGCAAACCGAATCGAGAGAGAGCTGCTCGATGACTCCGGGGACACGTCGAAATTCGTGCGACCCTCGAACGCACCATTTCGGTAAACAACAGTTTACAAGAGTCGTGTCGAAATCGAGTCGCGATAACGTTTCAAGTATTATTATGTAATTTTATCTGTACGCGTCATGAGCTTCGCGTAATCTGATAATCTGACACGTACATCGTACTCTATCGTTATCGCCTGTTGTTCCATTTAAACTGTTTTTTTCGCGACCTCGTTTTTATCGCGGAGGTAAGTGCGAAGAGAACCAATTTCCTTAAGGACGTTTTGCTCGATCATTCGGAAGATAACGCGAGGAAGATTCCCAGTGCTCGGTGAATAATCATTTCGCGGGAAATCAGTCAGTCGATATTATCTCTTCGATTCCTTTTTATCTGTTTATTCGATTTTTAAATGGTCTCGCATTCTTTTAAGGTGAGATTTCCTGGATGCGATTTGCGAGTGTCTTACCACTTATACTCGGCTCATCAAAATTTGACGCATGACAAACATGACACGTAGACAAAGCGAAAACTTCGCATTCATATGCGAGTATTTTCCTATTCGATATTTTTGCATATTCACCTTCAGGATATGCCCCTGAATAAGAATCAAGAGGTTGCCGGATGAAAATCTCATGCAAATTTTTTTAAACAAATATTTTTGAGACTAAGTGCTAAAATTGGTTCTTTAATCTCGAATGATTTTTTTTAGTTTTACTTGAAAGCATGTTTTGCTATCTTTTACTGGATCAATAGAAATATATTGAACACTCGGTCTATTCTGTTATGTCTATAATAACTGCGCGTTAACAATGGGCGAAGCGTAGATCGCAAATCGCAGTAAGCAGCCTGACGCTGCGCGGAACTCCTACCTTTCCGCAGTGGAAATACACGCTTTGCTACTTTCCAAAGGAATCTCACGGAGACGTTCAGCTCATCCGTGAAAAACGATGGATCGACGCCCGGGATCGATTCCCGTCACCGTTCGAAAATGTGTAAAATTCAGGGGTAGGAAACGTCATCATGGACATAACTCGGTCCGATGCGTCGACGTGTCCGCCTTTGATCCCCGTCAATCGAGGCGCGAATATTAAGCCGAGAAATGAACATTCGTTGTCGCCCCGATTTTTTATTCAGCTTTTTGCCTCTGGTTGACCGTCCGCCCCGATAAAACCCGGAAATCCGTGGGGGTTAAAAAAAAAAGGAAAGCAGATAGTTTCGGCTCTCGTCGAGTTCGCTCGTAAAGCGTGGGATCGCGATAGAAGGAAGTCGAAAAGGGAAACACGGATCAAACGGCTCGGATCGTTTCGAGGTTGAAGCGTATAAAACGACTTCGACTTTTATTGCCTCGCCGTGGGTTTAATGACTTACTTGTCGTGAAACCGCCGCATGTTTCGTTCCCAGTGAAATATTCACCCTTTTGTGTTACACACTCTATAAATATCGAATGAAAATTGTGATTGATACAATAGTACGCTAGTTCATATTACAATTTCTGCTTTGAAAAGACGAATGGTCTCGAATTTTCTGTTTCACGAACAACGAGCATAAGCCCTGTGACGGTCAAACGAATATTCCGTATAACAGAATAACGCGAAAAGGCTCGAAGAAGTCGGGAAAGCTCGCGAGTTTTTACGCGTCGACGGTTGCGTTTTTCCTCCCTGCGCGCTTCAATTATTACAAACGATTGCGCCCGGTACCTACGTAGCGCATACCGCGCCTCGTAAAACGCGCGCGTTGCAAACTGAATTCGAGAGTTCGTGACAGGGATGAAAAAAGGGAAAATCGAATCGATAGGTGACGAAGCGTGTACGCGATGATTGGTAACACGTACCCATCGTTACGGTCACGTGCGATTATTTTTCACGAAGCATATATCGCCTACCAAAAAACATGCGAAATTGCCGTGCACCATTTTACAGTATTTGTGGAGAGAGACGTTAGATCAAACGTACACGTGTATTTAAGTCGTACGCGCCGGTAACGTTCTGTTTCTATAGGGCAGGGGCCGAGCACGATGTTGCAGAAGAAAAACATGAGATAACAATGTTCGGATGGTTGAATATTTGGATAATGGGAGCGTTAACAATAGAGCAGTAGCAGTAGTAGTAGTAGTAGTAATAGTAGTGAACTCGCGTAGGCTAATTGAATCGCGCGATACAGAGAACTCTGTAATTTATTTTCACCGTAGTTTGGCCTACCTAACCTCTTCTATCTCGACCCCTGGATCTACGCGAAAGATCGCGCTCTTCTAATTAACCCGTTGCTTTCTTGCTCCGCTGCTCTGCTTTCCTTTTTTTCCACTGACTCAGCTCTCCAACGTCCGACCCGTCTAAAAGCGACGATAGCGATCGACAGGAAGCTATAACCGGAGCGCGCGTGTTCCGCGCCGCGAATAAACGCGTCCAGTCGCTCTCCTGATACATTTCGCAGACCTGTTGCTGCGCAAAGCCATGCACCTTCGCGATAACAGTCTATTTTCGCTCGAGTCGAACGATTCTTCTCGTGTAAACGTAAACGGTACGTGTATCATTCGGTTCCTTCCCCCTTTTACGACGTGGAAAATATTTTCAGCGCTCTCCCGAACGTAAACACGCACAGTGTATCAATATAGGAATTTACGAGTCGAATTCTTGAAACGAAGTTAGGAGTACTTTCGATGTTCTACATTGTATTAAGTATATTTTTCTTTAACAGCATAAGAACTGCGGTTTATAAGCTCGTATGCGGATCTGCGATTCTTGCGTATTATCTTGGAATGGAAGAACGATCGCAGTTGAGGCCGAGGTTTTAATTGGCGCTCGTTGAAAAATTCATGCGATCACTGAAACCCTGAAAGACAACCCGAGGGCGGAGTCGTTTATATCTAACCATCGAATCCGAGCTACGAGACGACTAGAACAACGTCGGATTAATGCTGAACGCGCGCGATGATGCCTTCCTTGAAAGACGTCGCTTCGTATTTCACGAGCGAAGCGGAAAACGTATCCGCGCTTCTGTTTCCCCGAGCCCCGAGGTAGAATATGTAACTATACACAAACGTGTAATCGGTTTACGTTAACTGGCCTGCGGTTCATCAGGGCTTGTTGCAACAAGCAAACTCGATCACTGATCTCCGAGACTCGTGCAGATGGAAAAGAATGTCTGTAGGCGTCGATAACCGTGTGTACCAACAGTGCCTGGAAGATGTCGATGAGAGGATCTTCAGTTTCAATCGAGAGAATGCGAATGCAATCTCATCGTGTAAATTGAACAGGGCTCTCGGAGTTCAAAGTGAACGCGAAGACAATAAGCATTCGATTTAAGAGGAGGCTGTAATCGTACGATCTAACGTGATTCGTGAATCCAATCTACGGCGGGGAATGAATTGTTTAAAAGCCGGGTTGCTGACGAAAGTTTCTCGAACGACATCGATATTCCGTAGGTTGAAAGATTTACAAGAGCGCGTTCCTGGGAGACACGCTCGCGTGCATCCGGAGGATGCCTCTTGGAAATTCTCTCCTCATTGTTCGCGCCCGAAAACCGGTCAACCGGTGAATAATGGATCCGAATCGTGTACAACGCATACCGTTCGATTTTCTTCCGATTTTCTTCGTAAACTGCTTCTCAACCGCGATTCGTTCCAATCCCTGGAGGGCCAAGTTTTATTCCCGAAACGTACTGGGTGAATCAATAAAAATCATCCGGAACAACGCAACATTCAGATATAAGAACTGATTAATTCTGTGAGCCGTGTCGAATACAAAATTCGTTCTCAACCGAATCAATAGAGAACGAGCTGAAATAACGCAACGTTAAAATAATGAGACTGCATTGATTCAGCGAGCTGTATCAAATACAATATTCATTTTCAACTAATTCGAAAGAGAACGAGTCACCTCGCAGCAATTCACCTTGTACATTTTTGCACGATGCGCGTAGGCGACAGTTCTTTTACGATTAGCTTCTCGCGATTGGAAATTGATCGTGACGTTGCCCCAGAGATTTTCGAGAACTTGTTCGTTCTCGAAGCGCTGCAAACGTCTCGAAGCATGGCGAAACCGTACCTCGAGTCTCAACGGGAAAATCTCGTTCGTCTGTTGCAGACATGTCCCTGGTGAACGGACTCCTGGTGCTCGTCTTCGTTCTGGCGATCGTACCGGATAAGATACTAGGAATCTCCGGGCCGTCGTTAGTCATGGACCAGGACATGCCATCGAGGACTTGCAAGTACAGCAGAGCGTACTCTATGATACAAGTTCGCTGCTACAATCTCGGCCTTCAGTGGATACCGCCTAATTTGAGGACGGAGATTCAGGTAACAATTATTCAACGACCTCTTCTCTATTTTTTACTTTTTATCTAATTGTTCTGCACGATTGTCGACAGATTCTGGACGGGGCTATGAACAGAGTGAGGGCATTGACCAACGACAGCCTGGCCTCGTACACGAGCCTGGAGTACCTCTATTTAGGGGACAATTTTATCCAAGAGATCCACGAAGGGGCTTTTAACAACCTACGATATTTGAAGGTGCTGGACTTGTCGACGAATGGTTGCGATACTCTGCCGAAGAGCCTCTTCCAATTGCCATACCTGCAGAAACTTTACCTGAGCGTGAATAGGCTGACCGACGACCTTTTCTCACGCATGGACGTAAAGTCACCGTTGACTTTCTTGCAGCTGGCCAGAAACAAACTCACGAAAATCCCTCAGTTGGGTCCGGTTACTTCGTTAATACATTTGAACGTTTCTGAAAATTTTATTACCTCCGTCAGCCCGGAGGATCTGGCACCTTTCTGTTCTCTAAAGATCCTTGATCTGTCCAAAAATCCTATCAAGTTCGATTCAAGCAACTGTGAATGCCAAACGTTCAACGCGTGGCTGCACGCGCGCGATATTCACACGCGACCCGTGTTCAATTGCACGGAGGAGTTGGATCAACGGTGCCCGAACCCGGAGTTCAGCAACCGGACCTTAGAACTGTATGAACAGTGCACGGAGGTGGTGCGATTACAGATAGAAACGCAGAAGGCCCGGAACACGTGGATATTGATCGCCTGTTGCATCGGCGGCTTCCTTCTCTGTTTGTTCGTTAGCTTGTTCTGCGTGCACAAAAAGAACAAACGGAGAAAGAAGAAGCTGAAAGAGGAGCAGAGACTGAACGCGAACAACGCGAACACGGAGTTGTTGAAGAACAACCTTACCCAACCCGAGAACACCTGAACGACGTGCCGTCGAGATTGGTTCAATCGCATCTAATCGATGGAGAATGAGGGGCAGCTGAATGAGGAGGAGGGAAAACACCGGTACAATTTTTCTTTTTACATCCATCGTTGTTCTGAAGCTCAGCCTTTTAATGAATACATCCGATAACAGGTGCGACATAATATATGAAAGAATTCTCGCGAATTGAAAACGTAGTAAAATTTTCGTTTACGAGTGCTCGCGTTCGAAGAAACTCAATACTGAAGCTTCTTGCTTTCAACAAACACAATAGTACGGGGCGTTGAAACGGATGAGATCAGTTTGCAAACGTGGAAGCCGATTTTAAAGATGATTGTAACAGACAGGAATATTAGGTTACAGAGTCTCGATCGAACACTGGCATCGATTTCCTTGAACTTTACGTCTTTCATTCCACGAATTTGAATCTGCGTTTTCGATTCGCGTGCGTGTCGAACGTAGAGGGGGGCGAGTTAAATTATCCAGAGCCATCTAAATATACTTACTCCTACGATCCACGTTGAAGTCTGTTAAATTATGAAATTGTATTGTAAGGAACTTACGAATTTACGTAGTAGCGTGAACGTCAGAGAGCGTGTGAGTGAGAAGAGAGCGCGTGATGAAATAAAGTCGCGGTTAAACGCACAAATGCCACGTGTTCGACGGAAGTTACCGCTGCGATCTCGGATCACGATTACGGTCCGAGTTTTATTATCGACTCGCGAATTTAATCGAGAACCGATACTCCAAATATCTGTCGTTTACCCTGTTTCTACATACTAGTAACTAAGCAATTTCCCGTTGTCGTTCATGGTATCGGAATTTGGATACTCGTGTTATTATCCCATAATCGTTGGAATTTATGGATGTTCCAAAATCGTAAACCAGGTATATATATGTAAGTTTGCAACGAAATTTCGGCAGATCGAGTACTTAATCGAAAACTAAAGGTACTTTAATTGTAGCTAATGGTAATTTGTACGATCTTTGTATCGTCGAGGAAGTAACGTCAATCGAGATTTTTAATCAAACGTTCTTACGCGAAGTCGTGCTCTACATGTAAGTTTATATGTATGTATGTACACATGTTAAATATTTATTTATATTTAAGAAGGAGACGCGTTTCTGTTACTTTTACGACCAATTATTTAAAGACACTGTTGATTTTCTTTTTTCCTTCGACGTAAATGTCGAAACCTCGAACTTAGGGCGACTCCGATGTATTTTTACGATACGTGCCAAGTTTCCTTTTTATCCAGAATGCATCATTCAAAGAAAATGAAGATTGGACGCTCGGAGATACCAGTTCCTAATAAGTACACGATTCCCCCTCGGTTTCCTTTTTTGTAATAATTACAGTACTTAAGGATAATAACGAAAACGGAGATATTTTTAAGCCAACTGCCAACAAACATTCTTTGTATACGCAAACGTTGCGTACCTTAATCTGTATCTCTTATTCTTAACATTTTTCTATATGTATTTCTTTAACTTTTAATACACGCGAGATGTTATTGTAATACATTGTACAAAGATGTTATTGACAATTCGATGAATTTCATGAAATAAAACTTAAATCTAGTCGATTATTGTTTTATTGACGAATCCTGTCTCTGATTTCAAGTTCTTTTATCGAATTTTCTGAGGTCTACGTTCAAAAGCATGCATTTTTGTAATAATTGTTCCATAATTCCTGTCGAGTAGTTTTTGCGTTTACTTCTTGTATACGATCGCTAGATGGAGGTGCAATATCAATTTGCGACAGTAAAATCTTTTAATTGGAATAAGATTAGTTTTTGTGAGTTCGATCAATGAAGCGTTAGAATTAATTTTCATCGTTTTATGATCTTTGTGCGTTGCACACGTTCGTATGAAAATACTACGAACTTACGATGGAAAACGTCGAAGCATTATGAACGGGCCATTAGTTTCCTCGAAGGTTTTTCAATAAAAGGTTCGGGAGAGCCGTTCGTTCGGTCCCCGCTTAACAAATGTGTCAAATTGTGTGTGGATTAGAAGTAACATTGTTCATCGTTCCATTGAATCGCGATCCGTTGTTGTTTTATTGATCAAGAATTAGAATAGGCGGCGGACAAACAGTGAGATATATTCATGAAAGAGATCCTTAAAGGGAAATATCGAATAACCTGCACCTCTTGACATCTAACCAGTGTTGGACCAGAGCGTATTTCTCGTGACTTATTCTTAAATTGAGACATCCCCAAGTTAACAAACTTGTTGACAAGTGAATCGCGTATCGTGACAATCGCGATGGTGCGGCAAGAAACAACGTTGACCAAACCGGCACGTAAAAAACCGAACATCGACGCATCGACAGCTGAATGATTTTCGAAATATTCCATGGAACAATAGTAGTTTTTGTTGAGTAATTACTCGTAACTGAATTGTTCACGGTTTTATCTGCTTCCCGTAGATATATCGATGATCTTAAAGAATCGTTGTTGAAGTATCATAGGTAACTGCACGAATGTCTCGCGAATTCTTCGAACTCCATCGCGATGGGACATAATAAAACACTTGTTTACAGTTATAAATGAAATGGGTAGTGCTTGGTGGCAGTGCACTGCATGTTTGAGAGCACAAGAAGAAGATATTTGCGAGTTACACTTGAATAATTATAATCTTTACGACGTACCACCGGACGTGTTCATTTACGAGAGGACATTGGAAAAGCTCTACCTTGATGCCAATAGAGTAAATCAAATTTTCAATTGCAAACACACATATTTATATGTCTTTACAATCGAGTGATATTATATACTGTTACGTTTGGGTGTAGATAAAAGATCTTCCAAGGCCACTGTTCCAGTGCCATGAATTACGAGTACTTTCTCTCAGTGATAATGAAATCACCACGCTACCACCCGCCATAGCATCCTTAATTAACTTGGAGTATTTAGACCTCAGTAAAAATAGTGCGTATCGAATAATAGCTTCCACAGGAATCTCGATTATTTATAATCGTAATGTCGTTTTGGTTCTAGGTGTTAAAGAACTACCAGACAGTATCAAAGAATGTAAAAACCTTCGATCTATAGATATCAGTAATAATGCATTCGAACGTTTCCCAGATGCTATCACACACATTGTTGGACTAAGAGAGTTGTATATAAACGATGCGTACATAGAATATCTGCCGGCGAACTTTGGAAGACTTTCGGCTTTGAGAACGCTGGAGCTCAGGGCGAATAATTTGATGACGTTGCCAAAGAGTATGAGCCGCTTAGTAAACTTGCAGAGACTTGATATCGGTAATAACGATTTCACTGAATTGGTAAGTATCTGTGTTTCACGACCCCTGCTGATCGTCGTATTGATATCATGATTCCTCCAGCCGGAAGTTGTTGGGGATCTGATTAATCTTACCGAATTGTGGATAGACGGTAACGATATTAGACGCATACCCGTGAACATTAATCAGCTTTATCGTTTGAATCATTTCGATTGCACTTTGAACACAATCCACGTTATTCCGTCGGAAGTGGAAGGATGGAGGGACATATCGATCATGCACCTTTCCTCAAACGAGATTTACCAGTTACCGGATTCGATCTGCTATCTACGTACAATCGTGACACTAAAAGTTGACGACAATCAATTGAACGCACTGCCAAACGACATTGGACAGATGTCAAGCTTAGAAGAGCTTATAGTAACTAAGAACTTTCTCGAATACTTACCGTCGTCCATAGGACTTCTACGAAAATTGCATTGTTTGAACGTAGACAATAATTATTTGCGATGTCTTCCGCCCGAGATCGGAAGTTGCACCGCGCTATCGTTGCTATCTTTGAGATCGAACAATCTGACACGCGTACCGCCCGAACTGGGCCATCTGTCCTCTCTAAAAGTACTGAATCTGGTCAACAACTGCATCAAATTCTTGCCGGTGTCTATGCTCAACTTGAGCAATTTGAAGGCTCTGTGGTTGAGCGACAATCAAAGTCAACCGCTGGTACCGCTGCAACAGGAATTCAATTGCGAGGAGGACATGATGGTGCTGAGCTGTTTCATGCTTCCGCAGAAACCGCGGCAAGAACTTGAACGTAAGTATTATCATTCGTTTGATTCTGTTCTCTAGTTTTAGCTTTATAGTAGCGTTGCTAGTTTCGCAAATAATAATATAACGCGTGATACATGCTGCTAGTGGATGAGGAGGAGGAAGATGAAGAATGAAATGGTAAAGTATAAGCTAACATATCTAACTGGTCAACATTAGTTTTAATTGATTTCGTAATGTTTTTTAACACTCGTAACGAGCGGATATGAGATCGCGATTTTCTACTCTGTTACATGCAGAAGTGACACCGGCTGTAGGATTAATTTCGAGTTCAATTGTTGGTACCGGAAAAAGAATATGTTTTGCTGCTGAGGTAGAATCTGAGATCCCTAGACAACTTCATCGAGCACCGACCCCCTATCCTAAAGAGCTGCGCAACCTTGCTAGGCATGCCCGCAATTTACATCAAACAACGCACGAACAAAGAGTAAGTACGATCTCAAATTCTCACTCATTACCGAGAAGAAAGTGTTCGCACTCGAGAGAAATAGAAAATTGCATTTTTTTATGTCTTTTGTCTACTAACATTGAAAATACTAGAAGCAAATTGAAACTTGCAGATGCATTTAGAACAGGAGACTATGATCAAAGAAGCTATTATTGCTACGACTACCCTGGACCTTACCTCAAAATCCGGGACCTGTTTTTCACAAAGTTTATTTAATAAGGTACTAATTAGGGAGTTATGAAAAATGATGCAAATCTAGTTCGAAAATCTCGAGTCTATCTAAATTGCGATCAAACAAAATGAAACAAAATTTAGGGATGATATTAAATCTTTCGTTAGTAGAACATAAAACTCTTTTCTTTAGGGATCACACTCATCACTTTCACCAACCGAGCGTCAAGTATCAAAAGAGTGCAAAGGTAACAGTCCTACGGATGCCGGGCCAGAACAACAATCTGTCTCCGAAGAATCTTCCGACGAAGCTAACAAGACGGTACTGGCAAAGGAAAAGAGTCCGGATATACGGGAAGCAAAATATATTCGCAATCCCACGTCCGAATATCTTTCGAAGTCGCCCACGGTGGCGGATTACGTAAACTCTACTTGGAAGCCGGACGAGTACTCGAAAGCGAACACCGCGAAGATCGTGGAATCAGAGAAATTTATAGAACCTTACAAGGGTACACCCGTGAGCAACAAGAAGACCGATCATACTCATGTTCAGACTCCGAAAGTGAACGACGTTCCACCTGTTCCGCCGCCGTACCATATCGCCGCTGCGTTCTCGAAGAAAGCTGCGTTCTTCCAGCAATTAAATCCATCTACGCAATTAGATTCCACTTCAATAGTCACCCCTCCGCAAACTGATCAAAATTCGAAGGAGCCGCAAACTTACGATGACTGCGGAGAATCGTTCAAATCCGACGAACGTTTGCAGAATAATACGGCGCAAGCTTTGAGCGTCGACGAGAAATCAAATTCTTCGAATGGCTCTGATCAAACTCAAGCGATGTTGGAGTCGAACGACCAGGAACAGTCATTCGAGGGAGATCGATCGTTAAAGCCAAGTAGGATTCCCATCTTAAAGACGAAGCATTTGGAAAGCGCGAACTCTATTTCGAACTGCGATCTGCCGGAAGAATATGATGCTTTGAAAATGTTAAACACGTCATGCATACCGACCTCTCCGATAACTGGTAAGAAGTATCGAAGTCCGCTCTCCATGCAATCGAAACTTTCTGATCGATCCAAGAAATTAATGAACGGAGTTTCAAACAATAATACTTCCTGTGATAATCTCTCCCTAAACGCAAATTCAGTTGGAATTTCGACCACGGATGGAATCTCCAAGTCTAAGTTTAACGAAACGCCGTCGAATATGAATAATATAAAAAATGAAACTAACTCTGGTCGAAGCACGCCAGTTCTATCGAAGAATCAGTCTCCCAACGAGGTGGCTTATTCGAATTTCGACAAGTATAAATCCATTGATCTGAACGACTCATTGAATTCAGATAGGAAGCCAAGGTTCAAATGGATGTTCGGACCGCATAAAAATGCGAACGTGGTACGTTCTCTTCTCGTAGCTTGCTAAGAATACATTTCAAATTGATGCATTGTATAATCGGTAATTACTTTTACAGTTGCCTGTTCAAGTGAGGAAGAATCCGGGTCTCGGTTTTAGCATAGCGGGAGGAGTAGCGGGCGCGGAAACTGTAAGTATTTAATAAACTTGTCTTAGAGACGCTACTGCGTTCCTTAATTTAAAACGAATGTAGCAAGTGTTTGCTGTATGCTAATTATCCTGTTCCATTTTTATTGATTCTAGGGAATCATCGTGACTAAAGTAAATCCGAATGGTCCGGCGCAGGGCACGCTTCGACCAGGTGACAAGATCTTAGAAGTAGACGGCATAGACTTCACTAAATCCGATCACAACACCGCTGTGGCCGTTCTCCAAGCGACCGGTGCAGTGGTATCCATGATGATTAGTCGTCATCAGTGACGTCGTATTAAAAAGAGAACATTTTTCTTATAATTCGTTTTCGCGGATTCGACTGAGTACACTTCAAGTAAGTTCTTTTTCTTTCTAAGTTAAGATTTATATATTTTTTACTTAAGACTTTACACACACAAACATACGTATATTCGCGAAACGCACAAAAACGCGGAGATTCAACTTTTTCTGAACGCTTGTCTTCACGGTTTTAAATCGTACTCTTTCTACTATCTGTCAGCTGAAAGTGTTACCAAAGGTGTCGAGAGGTAAAGATATTTCTAGCTTCCATCAGTCACGAACTCGTGAATCGAGCATTTAAAAAAAAGAAGAAACAATCAATGTTAGGTTGTATCTTAGATTAGGGTCGCGAGCCCATTCGCACATTTGCGATGAGAAAAGGAATAGAGTTCGAGATGTGATGTACAAGACAACTATTTTTAAGAGAAGTCTCATGTTCATGGGCCAATTCACGGTTTACTCTAATTTAGTAGATAAAGGTAGAAGCTACTCGTATAGTGAAAAGTTCATAAGTTTCTTCCCGAGTTGCAAACTCCTTGAGAGATAGAAGTATCGTTTGTGTTGTTTTACGATGTTGGTTGTATATGTGTCAACTCGCTCGTTCTCTTCGCGGAGGGCTAACAATGTGCCAGAAAACAAAATACTATTTATTAATCGTATATATATGTATATATATACGTGAAAAAATAATTACTATATATATAAAGAAAATGACTATATATATATATATATATATATATATATATTATGCATACAATGTATACAAACAATATCTCTGTCGGTCTGACGGAATTTTTGCAGACATTTGTTTCATAAGATATCGCGAAGTATTTTGTATATGTAGAAAGATTTTTCTCTTGAAGTTTAAAAGCAGAAACTGTTTCGTTTGCTTTAGATTTTTACTTGAAAGAAGGGTATTACATTTTTTATTTTATCTCATTAAAAGGAGGAAAGTATTCTTTTACGTGCCGTAAAATATTTTTATTACTATCGGATTTTTCTTATTCGAACTTTATATGCTCCTTTCCTTGCCATTGATTCGTGATAAATACCGATAATTCTCTTATCAGCTGTTAGGTATTCGATAAAACGAAGTCGTTATTGTTACGTGGTTGTGAATTATTATATTTGATTCGTTCTATGGTAAAGAAACAGGTATATGTACCTACGTATCTGAGAACTGTTCTTTTGATAACAGTTATTGATATGAGAATGTCAGTGGGTAAGATAAAACACTAATTTTCTATGTTAGCAGAGTCATACCTAAAAAATGGTGAAAGTTATTCAATTGTAAATGGAGCGAGATAAATGTTTATAAAGGATGTACATGACGATGTGTGTATAGAGCACAAGCGAACTGTTCATATCAAGATACGAGTTATAAACCAGTACACCGTTTGTACCCCAGAACTTTTACAGAAAGATAGCAATATCGCACTTCACTTTACCTCGCATATGATACAATTACTATACACGTTGTCTATCTAGCATTTGTTGTTCTAACTTTGTTACTGATTTTGATTAGTTTTGTAAGGACACGTGCGTTTAAACAACTATCACTTATTTGATTTTGGTTGACGTCTTTAAAAATCGATTAGAGATATTTTTTGATACTCGTTCGAGCAGAAACCCTTGTGTCGTAATATTCCAATGATATTCAGATAAAATAATGTTACAGTTAGATGGTAGCTATATAACGGATAGAAACGCATTGAGCATTACTGCGAATGTATGTACATACATGTATGAATTGTTCGACTCTATAATCATTCCGAGCTTCGAACTGTCTCAATCAGTATATTATTCAAAGCTACGTACCGAAGCTCGGAATTCTTCCAGAATTGAGAGTTACAACAAGAAAGTTATATTTTCAGAAATATTTCTTTTGCCTATAACTGGTATTCTGTAAAGAAATACGTAGAGTTTTTATATACTTTAGGGGAGAAAGAGAAAAAGAACAGATTATTTTTTATTTACCTATTTTGTGAAAGTAATTTTAGACGACTATATATACTCCATTATAAAGTATTCTTAGTGAACGTTTTACGTATGTTTTTTTTTTTATTTGTTTTTCGTACACATAGTTCTGTCATATAATTATATATACGTATATATGAGGAGCAGCTTGGTATTTAAACTTCTCGAATAGTTACATTACCAATAATAATCTGCATACCTAGTCACGTTGAAGAGTAAGAAGTATAGTTGAGGGTGGATTGTACCTTCACCTGATTACGTTTGTCTATTAATATTTTTGCGTATGTTATTTTCTCGTTTATCCACGGTAGGAAGGAATGGTATATTTATTGTATGCATTTACGTCTCAACAAATACTCTTGTATGCATTCATTGGCTAGTTAAGTGTACAAACCGAATTGTGCACGTGTATTGATTGTCCGTTAGCAGGATCGTTTAAAACGTTACGTGACGCTCAAATAATCTATTAGGGTCTTCTTCAGGATAAATTGATATTTTGATTAGCAGAGAAAAACAAATTTTTGGACCATAAGAATGCATATACAATCTTTTCTACTACTCTAACTACTAAACAGACTGACTACTTTTCGAGCAGATATTTAAGTGGCATTTAAGGAAACGTGTGATTGAATATGCGATACATAAAACTGTATATATAAAAAGAATTATAACCGAAAAAGTGGTCGTACTCATTGCCCAGTTCTTAGTTTCGATTACGATTCGTAGTTCGTTTGTGTATTAATTTTTAATGACAGAGGCAAAAAAAGGAAACCGTTGAGAGGAAAACATTAATCAGTACAGCCACTTCCTTGACGTATTTTTTCGGGACAGCTACTCGAACGATTTGTATGGGAACGTATGATAGATTAAATGTACAAAAATGCTCACAGTTTGACTGGTCACCATATAATAACTACCATACAGTTGTAACACTTGGGATATGTTAGAGAGAAAGATATTTTACCTTTCTTAAAAAGTCCTAGTTGGTTGTGCAGCAATAAATAAATTAATATTTACGTACAAAAGGTTGTTCCCTAGGCTTTATTGTAATTCACGTATAAAAGAGATTCCCATAGAGACTAGTCAGATTATTTTTAAGCTCCGATCAGGAGGTACGTTGGATTCTCGACGTAGAACTTCCAGTGATTCGAGTACCTCGCCATCGTGACACCGTCCACGACTCGATGATCCGCCGCCCAGCTGATGGAAATTATGTTCGCTGCGATTACCTTACCTTCCTCGTCGAATCGCGGTAATTTCTGAGTTTTACCAAACGCGCCGATCACGATTTGCGGCGGTAGAATAACTGGCTTCGTGTACGTGCCGCCCACCTGCCAACACCGTTTGAAACACGCGATAGATCGATATCGACAAATGTTTGCGACGCATTACATGCGAGCGAAACAGATTTGACTTTAATTTAAATTAAGCGATGCAATTTAAATCAGTACCAGAACCGAATTCCGTCTGTTTTACTCGAATCATTAACGATTAACAGAGTCGAACTTACAACACCGATGTTCGACAGAGTGAAAGTGGTGTTTGATAAATCGTCGAACGATAAGGAGCACTTCCTGCCGAGTTCCTGAAGACGGTTCAGCTCCCTCGCGATCTCTACCACGTTCAGTCGTTGAACGTTTTTAATGTTGGGCACAATCAGACCCTCGGGCGTGTCCATAGCGATGCCGATGTTGTGATTATCGTGAACGAGCGTCCCTTGACTCTCCTCGTCGAGCCACGCGTTTAACTGCGGCACCTTTTCTAAAGCTCTGGACGCCGCTTTTATAAAGAACGGCATCAGGCTTAAAGAGATGCCTTGCTGTTTCAGCGAGTCCTTTACCTCGTCCCGTTGATCCATCAATTTGTTCACGTTGCACTCGTCGCTGTATACGAAGTGCGGTATGCTCTGCAAACACGGACATTTTTTGTGTGCTCGGTTTAATTACAAGCGGTTGATTTGGGGCGTGCACGTTAACGAAGTCGAAACACAGAGGCGGCGGGTTCGGCAGCGGCGTGATGTGTATTTGAACGTGAAAAAGATAAGAGACGATTAAAACGGGCTGTATTTTCCGAAACACTTTAACCGTGTTTCGTCTGTCAACGTTGACGGGGGAAATTCGGGCCGAGTACCGCTCTGGTTCGATCGATCGCTATCAATCGCGCCTGTCAACGTCACTTTTAGACGACGCACTTCTATTATCCGGTTTCGTCGTGACTTTCGCATTTCAACCGCCGCCGTCCCCGCGCTCCAATTTTCCCAAACAACGCGACGCGACGTTCGTTATCGAATTACTTGCTTACCTTTTAATCTAGATTACTATTTTCAGAACGATTAACCACTTAGCGACAGGCGAAATTTCAAACCGGCGTTTATTAATACCGGAGCTTCACAGGGAAAACGCTTGTTCGATAACGACGCGCGAGCGGTCTCGGTTCAACCGGTGGACTCTTGTTTTTTCAGGCCGCGGTAGGAAAAAATGGAACACGCAAATTTTCCGTGCAGAAAAGTTAAAGCAAGCCGAGGTAAAAGCATAATACCTCGGTCGATATAAAAAGAATGACGGAGCGTGTTCTCTGGGAAGTTGCGCGATATTCTCTCGTAAGTAGTAGAAAATCCAACTTACCAGGGACTGCGTCATCGTTTTCCACATATGCTTGCTGTAGCCTTTCGCCGGCACCGTTGTTGGTTTCTCTCCGACCCTTTTTCCCGCAGGGCCAGCAGAAATTTTTTCCAAGTGCGCCAATATATCCTCTTTAAGCACCCGGCCACCTTTCCCGGTAGAAACGACATCCTTCAAGTTAATATCGTTCTCCATCGCTATCCTTCTGACCGCCGGCGTGGCCACTGCCTTTTCCCTCAATCCGTACAGGTCCTGATTTTTCGCCTCAGTTTCCGATTCGATTTTCGTAGCTGCTTTATCAGACGCCGTCGTTTCCGCGTTCTCGTTCCCATCGTCCAGTTGAATGTCCAGTAACGATTCTCCTATCAAGGCTACGTCGTCCACCTTGTGGTGCAAGGCTTTAATTAATCCGTCGTAACGGCTGGTAATCGTCACGGACGCTTTATCGCTTTGGACCTCGCAAATGTTATCGAATTGAGACACTCGGTCGCCTGGTTTCACGTACCTATAGATCCGAATGACATCGAGACACGGTTCAGTTGGCTTCACGATACATTTAGGCCGAGACACATCCGTCGACGGATGTGTTCGCTCACGTTCTTTCGCTTTATAATAATGTATTCTCACGGCGATCGAGGGAAAACGATCAGTAATTGCGAACACGAAGAAAATTCATTGTTTCGCTCACCATTCTTTTATCCTGACGTCTCGAATTCCTTCTCCGATATCCGATAGTTTGAAGGGTACGATGGCTCCGCATCGAAAGCAGCTTACGGAGAAGAATCGACATTTTTGATCGCGTACATTCCTACCCTAAATAAACATGGATTTACTTTGTGTATTCGTCGGCAATAACTTGAAAAATCCGTCTGAGCGATTCTGTATCGTATTCTTTATTCCCAATTTTTTCGTCCGCGATGTGGAAATTTTATATCGGAATTTTAAATACCGCTCCGCGTTCCTTTCAAATTCGCCGCATTTAAACGCGCGTTCACGATCGGCATCGATCGGCACCGATCGGTTCGGTCTCGGCCCGAGCGTGACGTAATGGGAGCCATTTTTAATTTAAGTAGCGTCGCGTCGTGATTAATACGAAATATTAGGGTTAGAATGTGATTAATTCAAGTCAAAAGGTGGTGCAGTGCGATGAATCTGTGATTCGTTTCGAAAAGTTCGATCTGTTCGTTGATAATCTGTAGCTAGACGTAAAGAAAGAAGCTAATCTCGATGACACTCGATCAGCCTGACCGGACTCTCATCTTTACCGGTGAGTAAACAATCATTTTATCATCTTTAAAGATATCTATGTTTTAAGAATAATGCGTTACGTATCATCGTGATTTGTGTTCGTCGTCAATGCCCGAATGACGGGGTAGCTATTATGTTATTTCGCAGGAAGTTGTAGTCAGTCACGTTTTCGAAAAAACTGTTGCTAATTAGAAAGTTTGAATGATGTTTGACTCAAGGGAAACAACTTCGCGAAGACTTTGATAATACCGCGTCAAACACAGTGGCCGTTGGAAAATTATTCATCAGCTTCCAGTAGATTCGGTCAGGGTGGCCGTGTTAATTTCGTTTATTGTGCCACGGCTACGTGTTTATTGCTTTAGTAGTTCTCCGGCGTATAATTTGCCCGGATACCACAAAATACAGTGTACACGTCGTAAGAGGCGGAGACCTATGGAACATGTATTGCCCATCTAAAGGCTAAACGAAGCCCACCGATATAACAAGGCTACCGGCCAATTCTGCGTCACGTCGATTAAACACTGGATATTTACATTTTCCTCAGCATACTTACTGCGTGTACTCTGTTCAGTCCCTGGTCAATATTAAACGCGTTAAACGATTCTTCTATACACATGTATGTACTTAATCTCGAATATCGTGCAAACACGTAACCGAAGATCGGCGAAAACTGTCGAGATCCTACGGCACTGTTCATTATAGAATACTACCGATTTCTCACTTGGTTCGTGAGCACAGAGCAAACATGTTTGTTGAGAGAGTGAAATAATCCCACAGTCGTACATCACGGTTGGTGAACAACAAAAGTCAAAATGTATCCTTACCAAAATCGTTAACGTCGTAAACCTCCAGGCGAGAGCCATAACGTGTGGACGATATTTCCACAACGTTTTATTTTCCAACACTTTTTCCCGAGTAGAACCGTTACCGAAACAGAGATCGTCGATTATGATGCAAAGCAGTGCGTCTTCCAAGCAAGCGTCACTCGCTGTTATCGCGTTTGGTATTATCGTACATATTCGTCTTTATCCATGGAAAGTTGCGTAACGCGTCAGTGGCTCTGTTGAAAGACAGGATTGTTTTGCACGAAAAATACTCGTCGAGTCGTGATTCCGGTGCATCGAACGTTACTTACTTCTTGCAAAGTTCGCGCTTGTTTTTCATCGGTTGCCAAGAAGGTTTGGAAGCCGGGCTTCGATACAGATTTTAATCGTATTTAAATTTAATGCACATCGAATCAGCATATTAATCAACCGCCTCGACGATAGAGAACATTTTTTCTTACAAATGTAAACTACTAGACGCGCGCTTTCCCTCAATCGAATATCGGTACGTTTCGCCGCGATTTATCCTCGGGCCTATTCTAGTCGAGTAGATGAGGAAGATTCGGTTCTGTGTAATACAAAATCATGAATATTCCAAGTATTCAAATGTAAAACAATGCTCGCATAATGATGACGCTTGTATAAACAGTGAAGTTCATCGTGGCGTTCGAAAGAAATAAATAATACCGTCTTGTGTTTTATTCCAACAGTTTTTAGTCGCTGATGATAGCCGTAATAAAATCGAAGAATCGATCGGCTCGCGACGCCGAAGGTATCAGAAATGCACTCCAATTTAGCTAAGCGTTAATGGAGATCGGACATCGTGACGGAATTTAATTTTCTTCCACGGAATATGATTACCGTTCGCCACTAAATTGCGATCCAATTAGGAGCACCAGGCTCGCCATTATTTTTCTCTTACCATCGCGTTCTCCACTCGCGAGACAGTTTTCGTTATCTCGCGATACTTAAAACGTTCAGGCTATGCACGCAAAGCCGAAAACGGCCGGTTAATTCGATTACCCGCCGTGCTGCTAATTTATCGGTCGCCGAAATCCGATTACAGTTACATAAGTTACGAGCTTCCCATTGCGGTCAATCCTAAATTTTTAAAGATGTATCAGTCTGGATGCATAATTGTTACCTTTCGTGCTGCATATGTAAACAAATTATGCAACTGTTTTTGGATCGATCTAATAAATGCATAAGGTGAATATGTAATTTGAACGGTATAATAATAATTGAGAATTCTATTATGAACTATCGAGCAATTGATGCGATGATATTTCAATGCCGATTGAGTCCAATATATAAACGAGTTCATTAATTTTAATATGGACCCCGGAACCGAGGTTCGTATATTTAATTAGCGCTCATTTCCATTGGACACGTATAATGCGCGTACTTCCAATGAAGATTTAATTAATAATTTTTTATTTATTTTGGGAGACGGGAGGGAACTAGGTTCGGTAAGCCAATAAAACAAAAAGAGGCGTGCTTTCTTCGACGGGACAAGTCTAATTGAATGCTCGGTGTTATAATAAAAGATACAAAGTTACCTTTTTGTACGACGCTCCCCATCAGCTTTTATTCACTCCTCAACGACAGAATTTTGTAACCTTCCGCTAGCTTCGAAGATTACGCGTTCAGTTAACAAGTTTTATTTATCGAACGGGTCCGAACATTCCTCGAACTAAAGACTAAAACGCCACTAGCCGCAACGTTTGGGAAATCATTGAGAACGGGTCGAGTGAAAATTCTGATACTTATATTTGGTCGAGCCAGGTTGTTGGAGTCCGCCTTAAACCGATTTATTTATTGTCTACCGTTCATGAAAGTGATAGCGTGTTATTGAATTGCGTCGCGTTTACTTTGTTAGCCGGCCTAGTTTCAAAATTTTCCTGCCGTTCTTTCCCCTGCCATTGTTACTCGCCTCACTCCCTCGCGCCTCGATTTATTGTGCTGAAACGTCGCACGAGCTATCGAATCGCGTTTCTTTTTACGATCCATTTCTATTGACTGGTAATTCCGTATTAGCGATTCGCGCGATCGCCGAAGAATTTTCATTTAGAAACAACAGAAATAAACCTTTGCAACGTTCAACTCGTTAAACATGGATCATCCGATAGAACCGATCACCGGACTGCGGATTTTTTATTATCTCAATTTCGCTCGCGACGTCATATTTTCTGTACATTCAGTTTGCTTATAAACGCGTCTGATTCGAACGAAAACGATCCATCGGGGACGGTCTGGTGTCTGTTCGGAAGAATTGACATTAGTTTTAGACAGAAGGAATCGTCGGATCCTTGTAAAATTCAAGTAGGGGTGTGGGAGGGTACTGGAGCCCGTGCCCGATGGTAACAAACAATCTCGCTTAATTAATTCCAAGTGGATCCAATAGCGGATCGGCCGAGTGAATAAAATTAACAACTTATGCAATCGGAGGAAAAACACGTGAGAACTCGCGCAGCGATTTAATCCGTGTCTCTGTGTACATGTATATGTGTATATGCATCCTATCTAAAACAGTACGTATGTATATATACATCTCGCGGAATGTAAATAATTTTTCGTTTGCCGCCGTTCTACAGTGGGGAATAGAGTGGACAATGAACAGTATACGTCGATCACTCGAACAAGCTAATTACATATGCGTGAGCGGACCGTTTCCGACAGAATAATTCACCTGGCACGAGTCGCGACTATCAACCGAGCGCACGCCCGGTCATTTCGAGCGCTAAATATGTATACCGGCGAGAAAACTGGCCGTCATTATTAACCGTGATCCAATTCAATCGTCGTCCACCGAATACACGCGTCCTCTCTCCGTTTTGATCGCGTCAATTAGTCAGATCGTTAAATAGACGAACGATTTTTCAAAGCACCTTCTTCTCTGGTTTTACAACTGAGGAAACGCGAAAAGGCGTATTTTCTTGATCTTCATTTAGATAAACGGGGAACTTGTTTGTTCTATTATTCAACTTCGTTCAGATCTCATTGACGATTCGTTTGAGGCTCGTGCCAGCAGCGGCTCGCGCGTAATATGCTTATACATTGTACGTATGTTTATGTCTGTGTGTATCGTTCATATATAATTCACGTAGATAACCGTTTTTAACAGTAACAATAACGACAACAGCGATCGCGATACGAGTGATCTCGATATAATGAGCGAACGAGGACGACAGTGACGATACGATCGCGTAACTGAATTCTCAATAGGCAACGCAGGTTTCCGATAGAGCTTACAAAGACTCCGTCCTCGTTATGTATGCGTCTGGCTGGCCGAATTCTTTTCAATTCTTTTTACTCGCGTTTACGAGCGAGATAGCAGCCGCCTGATGAGGAATTGAATAGAAGGGACAGCCCGGCACATAAAATTATCCAAGGATCTAGTTAGTTAAGCGTATGTACATTGCGACGTATAGTTGAGTTCTTTATCCTCATTGAAGTTGAGCTTACTCACGATCATCGACGATCACGTCCTAGGAACCAGCAGTCACAGGAACCGGAAGTGACTTGTTAATATTTTTTGCCGCACGTAACGTGTCACTCGCGATCAGATCGAGCTGCGACAAGGAAGACAGTAAGAAATTTTTAACCAAATTAAAAGGGCAAGTTTTGATCCCAGTCTATCTTCCTTGTCGGAGCCGGTTATAGCACTCTGTTCACTCGCGCGCGAGGTCCTCTTTTGGCTTGCGGCCAGGACAACGAGTCCTCGGTGAAAATCTGAATCGCGATGACGACGGCTGCTCCTCCTCCTATACTTGCGCCACTTGCTCGTTATTAGTTTTGCCCGTCTGCGACGTGTTCGACGCCAGGGAGATCTCCGTTACGCCTATCGACGTCTGAACCGCCGCTGTTAACGCGCTCTGAAGCGGCATGCTTTCGCTGGCTAGCTCGCAGCCCGTATCTGAAACCGAATCAGACTGCGGATTTTTATACTAAATAAAACAGAAACCGAAATCTAGATTTGTATCAAAGTAACAATGCGCGTTGCTCGCGTAACAGCCCTTTCACACGATGCGCCCTTTTGACCGATTCGATAAAATTATCGAATCGTTAATAACTGAAACCAGCGTTCACATATTTATTAATTTTCGTCACATGTCATTTAACTGCCC